AAAGAATTTGATGATATATAAGGCAAATCAAAGCCTAGAAAGAGATCTTAATCAAGGAAAAAAATAAAGTGTTATTATTATAACGAGTTTTGATATATCAAAAGGGATTGTAAAAAGTAAAAGAGGTCAAAGGGTTAAAGCTAATGACAAGAATGAAGAAAATGATATAACTATAGTTGTTTACGATAATGATGTTGCTATTATTTATGATGATGTTGTTTAAATCTTGCTTATCAAGATACTACTTGGATTGTAGATTCAGTTATTTGTTACCCATCGAGATTTCTTGAAAAATCAACGAATAACTAGTGTTATGGGCATTGGAGATATTTTGTTAGAGATAAATATAAATTGTAAGTTACTATTTAAGTGTACTAGACTTAAATATGTGCCTAAATTTGATTTCTACGGATACACTAAATAAATATGGGTATTACAATTTTTTTTAGAGATGATAAATAAAAGCTTTGCAAAAGTTCTTCAATTATTATTAAAAGAAAAAAGATGAGTCTTTACATGTCATAAGTCGGTTTGATTAAAAAGAAAGGTGAATGTAATTCAAGATACCTCTATTGATTTATGACATAGGTGGCTTGGACACTTGAGTGAGAAAAGCCTTGGTATCCTTGCTGAGAATAATCTTCTTTCTTTAAAATGTATGAATTTGAATACTTTTACTCGTTATTTAGCTAGTAAACAATACAAAATGACATTTCATAGATCACCTCTATATAGAAAATCTCATGTTCTTGACTTAGTTCATGTTGATATTTGCTCAATGATTGATAAGTCTTTTAGAGGTAATTTGTTAGTTTTATTGATGATTATTTTAGGAAAATTTATGCCACTTGTTTGAAATTTAAAGATTAAATGCATTATATTTTTAAGGGTTTTCATATTAGAGTTGAAAAAAACTAACGTAAAGTCGAAATGTGTTTGAGTAAATAATTCGATGAATACATGGGTTCTTTTGAGAAGTGTTACAAGGAACATTGAATTAAGCTTGCGAAGATAGTTTTAAAGACTCTATAATAGAATATAGTGCTCGAAGAATGATCAAAACTATTAATAAAATAATCAAGTATATGCTCTCTCATGCAAAGTTGTCTAAGTCCTTTAGGGGTGACACAATAATGACTATAGTTGTCAAGATCAACTTTTCTCCATTAGTTCCTCTTGAATTTGATGTGCTAAAAAAGTATAGAAAGAGAAAGATATTTCTTATGTACACTTGAGATTGTTTGGTTGTAGGATATTTGTATATGTTCTTAGAGATAAAAGGTCTAAGCTTGATATCAAGACAAAAAGTTGTGTTTTATTAGTTATAAAAATGATGAATTTGACTATAGGTTATGGGATCTAAAAAAGAATAAAAATATTATAAGTAGAGATGTTATTTTTTTAAGACTAGACAATTGAAGATTTTAAACGAAAAGAAAATAGTAGAGTCCTCCATTTCTGCTTCTACTAGTTTAGATTCAAGATTTACTATAGAGTTACCTTTGATGCCTTTTAATCATGAGATATATTTGAAGAATTATGATGATTATTTTTTTCCTTTTGAGCTATTAGTTGATGATTCCGAGCCGACTAATGATGATGATGACACTATTACTCTTGAATATGTTGTTCAATAAGCACTTAATGATCCATTCTTAAAGAGGTCCACTAGATCTCGCTAAGCTTCTACCAAATATCTTTATTATGAGTTTGTGTTGGTTACTAACAGGGAAGAGCTAAAATGTTGTGATGAAATTATGTCATATAAGAGGAAAAAAATGGTTGAAGCCATGCAATATAAGATGAAATCCTTACATGAGAACCATATTTTAGAGTTAGTGAAGCTTCTTAAAGATAGCAAAAAACTTAAGAATAAATGGGTATTTAGATTGAAAGTTGTAAAAAAAAAATATTCACGATCAAGGTATGAAGCAAGATTGGTTATGAAGAATTTCGATCAGAAAAAAAGGTATTGATTTTAAAGAAATTCTTTCACCCGTGGTCGAAATGTCTTCAAAATGAATTATGTTTAGTTTAGTTGCTAGCTTAAATTTTAAACTTAAGCAACTTGATGTGAAAACTATCTTTCTTTTTTATGACTTAGATGAAGAGTTCTACATGAAAGAACTTGAAGGGTTTGAAGAAAAAAGCAATGAGTAGTTATTTTTTAAGATGAAAAGGAGTTTTGTTAGGTTGAAGCAAGCTCCAAGACAATGGTATAAAAATTTTGACTCCTTTATGATAGAGCATGGTTGTGGCAGTAACCATTTATAATTAGTGTGTTTATAAATAAATTTATTGATGTCAACTTTATTATTCTCTTACCATATATGGATGATATGTTAATTATTAGCCATAATGCTAGGAGGATTTATAATTTGAAGGAGAGTTAAGCAATTTGTTTACAATGAAAGACTTAGAAATAGCAAAATAAATTCTTGGCATGAAGATTATTAATGACGAAGGAATGAAAAACCTTTACTATATTTTGAAAGATATGTTTAAAAGGTACTTGAAATATTCAATAAGTGGCAAGTCCAAACCTATTTATTCTCTACTTATAAGCCACTTTAAGGTAAGTTTTAAATAATATTCTTCAAATGATGATGAAGAGACAAAAAAGGTTTTTTATGCATCGGTAGTTGATAGTTTAATGTATGTCATAGTTTGGATAAGGCTAGATATAGTTCATGCAATTGGTGCGGTGAGTCAATTCATCCGCAATCCTAATAAAGAACATTGGTCAACAATGAAATAGATACTTAAGTATCTTAGAAGCATTTTTAGTTATAGTTTGTGTATTGGTAATGATAAACCTATGTTAGATGGATAAATAAATACGGATATGGTTGATAATATTGATATTTGAAAGTCCACATTAGAATACTTGATGACTTTTGCGAAGGAGCAATTTCATAGTAGTCGAGGTTGTAGAAATACGTTAGTCTATCCATTACGTAGATCGAATACATTGCTCTTACTAAAAAGAAAAAAGAGTTGTTATGGATGAAAAAGTTTTTATCTAAACTTAGCTAAAGGAAGATAATTTTATGTTGTATTGTGATAGTCATAATGCTATCCATCTCAATAAGCATCTTATTTTTTATTTTTGATCGAAACATATTGAGGTTAGATACCAATGGATTCGAGATACTAAAGAGATTTATTATTGAGAAGATCCATACTAATAAGAATAAGTGGAATATAATGACCAAGCTTTTATCGAGAAAGAAGCTTCGAGTTATGCGTAAGAAAAATGAGTTAGTGGAGCCCTCTAAATGAGTCAAAATGGAGAAATTATTAGATTGGGTTTCTCTTCACATTTAGTCTAAAACCCATGTCTACTAAATAGGAAAAGAAAAGAAAAAGGACCATAGTAGAAAAAATTAGTTACTCAAGTGCCCATTATAAAAGTAACGTAATTGACATCAAAACTATACAATTACAATTGCAAAAGTATAGCAAACGAGTAACAACAAATAACAAAAAGAAAAGAAAGATAGATTTTATTGTGTAAGACAAAAAGAGAGAAAGGTCGCTCCTCATATTTATTGTCTTAATCGTATGGTGATTTCAAATCTAATTGAAATGAAAATTTAACATGTTCTTTCCAACAACGAGCTCTTCGACTTGAATGATGTTGATTGTTGAGAACTTTTATCTTGAGTATTTTTCCGAAAACTTATTTGGTGAGATCTAGCCTTTTTTCCTTATTGTTATTTTTAGAATCCATTTTTGTGATAATGATTTTGATGTTTTGATTAGTATCCTCCAGTTGAGTTTATGAAAGAATTATGTACTCCATTATTTGATGTAGTGGAATAATTTGAGTGGACTATGTTCATGTGGTTTTTTAACAATATCGAGGTTTCTATGTAAAACAATTTCCTTGTTGATTGTGCTTGTGTTTATTTAGTTTATAGTAGTTATTATTGATTAGTTGATTCTAATTTTAAATGCATAAATAAAAAAAGAATTGGAACTTGTGGTTTTTATTTTGGTTCGTGCATGCACATTTTTTCAACAAATTACCATCGAGTTTTGAGTTGTAAATTGGTTTTTATTAGGTAGTTAAAATGAATAAAGAAGATTCGCATATGATAAAACTCACTTCTTCTAATTATCTCCTCTCAAAGACATTGTTGAAAAAGTGATATTAAAACTTTAGGTTACGTAGATTGGCTTTAATACCAACCTCCCGGCTTTAATACCAACCTCCTCTTTTATATATTGGGTCCTAAACTATCTCTTTCTTGACACATCGAGTCTTAAGCTAACTATTTCTAATTAACTTGTGTGACGTCGGCAAATAAAGAATTATTTAACCTAAGCTCTCATATCGGTGTTAAGTGTTAGTTGAGCTTCTCAACCTAAAAAGCTAGTTCAAGAAGTGAGGTTTTGTTCTTAGATTCATAACTAACTACCTATTCACAATTGATGTGAGATAACAAATTAATTGTATATTTTTAGATGCCTATATTATATAGTATTCTAGATATATAAATTATGTGAGTCATAATTACATTTTAAGGGCATATCTCTTCATTAACTTATATGTTTTCTATTGAATATATTCTCCTCGAAGAATCAAGGAGGGAACAAATTCCTTGACCACCCCACCTAACTTTTGCAAAACGAAACTGATTAAATTTTTTTTTAAACGATAAAAAAATAAAATTTTTAAGTGATTATCTGAACAAATCGCATGAACCATCAGATCTCTGCCCCAAGGGCTTTGAACCAAACTGACCCGAGAAGGCTGTCCAGTTTCTAATCAAAATAATAACTCACCAAAAAGAAGGAAAAAAGAGAGAGAAAAAAAGAAGAAGGCAAATCGGAGCATTAGATCTTTGCCTCTGGTTTGCTTCATATTCGATTCATGACTTCAAGTTGACTACTCTCTCCTGCATTATCTCTCTCTCTCAGCGCCCGGGGTAAGAAAAGCAAAAGAGAAACCAAAAAATTAATTTAATACTCTTTCAACATTTCTCCTCCAAGCAATGTTGAGAAGAGAACCATTTCTCTGCAAACTCATCTTTTTGCTCTTCTGTTTCGCTTCGCTCTCACTCGCTGACGAACTCACCGAGTCAGATCGGCTCGAGTTCACCGCCAACACTTCTATCCCTAACAATTCTCTCTCTACACCTAAAGAAGGCAGTAGTTTCGCTGATATGATCGATAAAGCTCTCGAGAAAGAGTTCACTGAAAATGACCAAAACGAAGGTTCGTTTCTCAATTTTAGGGTTTAATTCTTGATTTTGCGTTAAAGAAGTTTTAAATAATGCCTCATTTAGTTAATGATGTCATTATTATCTTTTCTGATTTTACTTTTTGTTACTGGTGCTTGCGATTTGTTGAGTGTCATTTTGGTGAATTTCACTATATTGACGGGGAATGTATCATTGATGTATAGAGGATTAGATCTTGCCTTCTTAGATTTATTTTCAGAATCGACCAATTCGATCTCAGAATAAAAACTCCTTAGACTTGTCGGTCTTATTGAGAAATTTTGCTCTTTAAATCTTATTCAATTTTAATTCTTAGGCCTGATTTGATGATATAGTGACCTGCATTTAAATGGAATCAGATGACAGTAGATTAGAGTCGAGCAAGTGAATTTGTACTGGAATTCTACCATGTTAGTTATTGTTTTTGCAAAATGAGAATCACGGGATCATTACATGTATATTTTCAATATCTAGCTAATCATAGTTCCTCCCTTACTTATTGACTTATCGGCAGCAACTGATGCTGGAAGCTTCAATAACAGCGTAGCTGACAAGCAGGTTGGTTGTTTTTCCTTCTTCTCAAATTTTGAATGACAGGGGATTTAACTCTGTTGAAACATTTTGTTTATGGATGTAAGAGGAATTTATTTAACACTACAATCAGTGACTGAGGCACAATGTAACTCAAGAAAGCATATGATGCCATTCTTTTTGATTCATTGTTACAGTTAATCTAGAATTTTTTAACTAATCCATGCCTTTATAATTCTCACCAAATCTACTGGGATTCTAATCAAGGTTTTTTTTTCTTAATTGAAAAGTATGACGGTGGTGTTTTTTACTTGAACTGTACTTATTGTTATGTTTTTTTTTTCATTATATATTTAATCTAGTTGCATTGAGAAAAGTTTGCTTGGTTTAGATATTCTTTCTTTCCCTTTGTATTTATTCATTTAGAACAAGTTCTTGCTTGAAGTTTTTGCTGAATATATCTTCTTGATATCTTTTCATTGCTCAGGCAGTTTTGGAAACTGTTGCCAGAGTTAAATCGAAGAAGAATGACACGAAAGAGGAAAAGTATACGCTTCTGTCTTGTAAATTATTGGCTTTCGTTTTAGTTGGCTTCTGCATTTACTTGGTATATGAATGCTGCCATATCACTTGAAACATTTCTGTTCCAAATCTCATTTTAGGTCATTTAAATTTCATGATGTTTTCAATCTGGACAATGATAATGGAGCAGAAGATACCCCAACACTGATAGATCGAAAGGTATGATTGCTTTTTTAGAAGCTTTCCTGAGTTCGTGACATTATTAGTGTTCCACCTGCTAAACAATTGTTTGTTTCAGGACAATGTCTTCATAATATCCAACTTTAAATCAAAGTATCCAGTGCTGCAGCTAGATTTGAGGTAAATGTACTAATATTTTATATTTCATTCAATTTTTATTTCTCTTAGTCATCTGGTAATTTAATCTGAATTTATTGCCTTGTAGATTGATATCAGATTTGGTTGTCGTCATTGTGTCTGCAACTTGTGGTGGCATTGCATTTGCTTGTGCTGGACAACCGGTCTGGTTATATTTGATCTCTGCTTAGTTCATGATACACTGCAATGCTAGTACATAATTCAATGTCGTAACATTCCATTTCGTTAAATTATACCGTCTTATGATGCTACTCTTATATCACTGTTTCTAATGGTACATTTTTACAGGTCATTACTGGATACTTGCTAGCGGGATCTATTATTGGTCCTGGGGGGTTTAACTTTGTCAGTGAAATGGTTCAAGTATGTAGCATGCATATGTATTCCTTTATGGGTTCTCCTTAAACCTTTCTGGATGATTCTTTCTTTGCCTTAGTCTTATACTTGAATATATTAATAAAAGCTCTGAATGCATGAGTAATGACTAATGGATTATTGTATGAAGATTAGTTTAGTCTTGAATCTTAAAGTTTTGATGATTCACCTTTACCATTTCGCAATGTTAACAGAGATTGTTCCTTACATAAGATCGTTCTCAAATGATTGAGGGTATTAAATATAGTTTTTGCAACCAACAGTTAAATGGTTGACCTCTGTCATAATTGCGGCTGTAAACAAGATTCCATATTATCTTTTTACGATGTTTTGCAAACACAAAAAATGACTATCTTCTGAGCAATTGTTTGTAATTTTGTATTTTTAATGCCACAGCTTACCTTGCTAATAATGTTAATTTTTTCCTACTAACTTCACAATTTACTTGTTTTCCATGCATGCATGCCAGGTTGAGACAGTGGCTCAGTTTGGTGTTATCTTTCTTCTTTTTGCCTTGGGCTTGGAGTTTTCAACAACAAAAGTCCGTTCTTGACCTTCTTCTTGTTCAATGATTTTTTTCTCATTAATATTGTATTCAAATTTCATCTTCTTCAATTTCAGCTTCGAGTTGTCCGGGCAGTTGCTGTTGTAGGAGGTCTGCTTGAAGTTGTTTTATTCATGTTCTTATGTGGCATTACAGCCATGGTATGATTATCTACTTATTGTTTCAGAAATATTGCTGAGTTTCCCTTAATATGTGAAGACCACTTTTACCAAAGAATACTCTTAAGTGATTGTTTACTCATCACAAGGAACAAAACATCGTATTCTAGAAAACTTCTATTAGAAGAAATAAGAAATGATTCAAGGTATGCAATATTTGGCCAAAGACAATTTGAAATGAGTGACAGTTATAGAAATGATCCCACACTAACACAACATCAACTTCTTTTTTTCCATTCTATAATTTTGGCCCTCAGATTCTGGTATCAGGCTTTGACCTATTGACTCTGTGCTAAAGATAATCCTGCCATACTAGTTTCAATTAGTGTCTAAGCTACTTGCTGCATGGTTTTATTGTAATCTTGGACTAAATATGCATCTTTTCTATCACAAAGTCTTGAAGTTTTGAATTCTTTTTTTTTTTTTTAACCCCCTGGTGATAAAACTTCTAGTTTGTACCTGCCATTGTGGTGCGCACACAGTGGAGTTATTATGCCATTGGTTTTGTTGCAAAGCATGTTGCATTCGGATTTTTTCTTGGTATGTAGGGTATATTGGATAGAGTTATTCATTCTTGATACTACAGTTCTGATTGGATGCTGTTTGCAGTTATGTGGGGGTAAGTCTTCAGAGGGTGTGTTTGTTGGTGCATTACTTTCAATGTCTTCAACAGCAGTGGTAAAAACCTTATCCAAATGTGTCACAAGTCACTTGGACCTTCTCCCTCTCATTGTAGAATTTGCAATGTAATGCCATGATCTCAAACGTACATGGTTTGGTTCAGGTATTGAAGTTCTTGATGGAAAAGAATTCTACTAATGCCCTTCATGGGCAAGTCACCATTGGAACTCTTATTTTGCAGGTTTGAGTTCTTTACCCTCATCTTATAAATTGCTCTTCTGTTTGTGGTTTTTCATTATCACTTTCTGGCACTTAAGTTATCAATGTGAACTTTCCTTCTTTCCACCGTTTCACCTTTGGAATTTTTTTGTTTTATTTTATTTTTTATCACTCAGGACTGTGCTGTTGGTTTGCTGTTTGCACTGCTTCCTGTTCTAGGTGGAACTTCTGGTGCTCTTCAAGGACTAATGTCCATGACTAAAGTGTAAGTACATATTAACCATCATGAGTTGCCAACTTTGTTCTTTGTAGTTAGCATGCATACATGCGTGTAAAGCTGTTTATCTGTTATAATATGCTTACTCTTGTTTCCAGGTTGGTGTTGTTGATTGCATTTTTGGCTGTTCTGTCAATATTATCTCGCACTTGGGTTCCATGGTTTCTTAAATTGATGATGAGCCTATCATCACAGGTACACATTTATTTGGTAAATAAGTTGTTTTAAAGTTGTTCTGCTGTGGGCTTGTGAAAAAAATTGTGTATTTGTGTTTTAGCTATATCATACTTTTTTCTAAGACCATAATGCATTTTTGCAGACCAATGAACTCTATCAATTAGCATCAGTCGCGTTCTGCTTGCTTGTAGCCTGGGTATGTTTCATGTCCTTGTTTTCTATCTATCTGCAACTCTTTCTTTGGCTTTGTTACACCTCTGTGAGTACTCTTCTATGCTTGCTTGTTATGTTTCATTTGGATTCTTATGTATGTGCAGATATCAGGCACTAGCACTTAAAAGAGTTGTATTTAGAGCATTTGAACCAGTGCATTACGATGCTGCATGTGGGTTTAAATGTCTGATGTGTTGATTATGGTGGTGAAGTCTTGTATTTAAGTTAAGCTCATGAATAGAGATTGTTTATCAGGAAATGCTAGATAATATTTGAAATTATTGATATGCCATGTGTTTTGAAACAAAATTTATATGTGATAGTAGATCCAAGAATACCTTTCCATTTAAAAGTTTTTGAACATGGCTGTTTTTCTAACCAAAAATAAGATATTGGATCTGGTTGTGTTATGGCATCTGGTTTAGATGGTTCCTCCTGAGAATGTCAAAGATAGATGAACTAACGTAAGAGTGATGGATCTGGCATGGCACGTCCAACTATAGTTAATTGGGCTATTATCGTTATATAAATTTGGTTGCAGCTGATAAAGCGTTAATGTTTTGCATTTCTTATCAATGAATTCCTTGCATTCTCCATTTCACTGTTCGTCTTCAAGGGTTTCTTGAGTTAATTTAAGCTGGCTATCTCTATAAATTTTTTTGCATTGCAGGTTAATGACACTATGATCTACTTTCTTTCTTTCTTTCTTAAAAAAAAAAAACATTTCAGAGTAGTGATAAGCTTGGCTTAAGTCTAGAACTGGGTTCATTTGCTGCTGGGGTGATGATTTCAACTACTGATCTTGCTCAGCATACACTAGAACAAGTAAGTAACAGTTAGTGTGCTATTTTGTCAATGGAAGTTTTATGCCTTGGTATACTGTAATATATGTGCAGCTGGAGGCGATGTTGCAACCATGAAACACAGAAGTGGTTCCTTCTACTTTTTTTAAGTTATGTAAACATAATTTATCATCAGGAGATTCTTGGAATTGGTTGTGCTTTCCATGGTGGCACTAGAATTCAGAAATGAGATGCTACTGTAATCTGACTGGTTTACTTTACTGAATTTGGGCTGCTTCTTATTTTTGGTTTTTTTACTAATCAATGGAGGCAATACTTGTCTAATAGGTATAGAGAATTTTGTTTGTTTGTGCTAAATGAAAATGAGACTGTGAATGTGGGATGCTCTTCAGGGCTGTCTTGTGGAATAAGTATATGTTATGGTGGGTGTGTAAAACCACAATGCTATTATACATTGTAGTCGCAATTCATTCTTCCAACGATAGTTTATTGGTTATGTTGTTGAAGCTTTTGAACTTTGACATTTGTTTCTGGTACCACAGTACTGCTTCAGTTACCCCACACATGAAGCTTGTTCCCTGTGCAGATTGAACCCATTCGGAATTTCTTTGCTGCTCTTTTCCTTGCCAGCATTGGGATGCTGATCCATGTCCATTTCCTCTGGAGCCATGTTGATATATTACTGGCATCTGTTATATTGGTTATCATCATAAAGACAGCCATAATCACTACAGTTGTGAAGGGATTTGGTTACAACAACAAGACCGCAATTCTTGTAAGATTTAATGAGGGCTTATTGGTTCTATTGCTATCAAGAATATTGGTTGTTGGTTGAGGAAACCTAAATCTATTTTTATAAATGTGTAGGTTGGAATGTCTTTGGCACAAATAGGGGAGTTTGCTTTTGTTCTTCTAAGCCGTGCTTCTAATCTTCATCTAGTTGAGGTAAGTGGGGCTATTGCAGTTTATTGGGAAAATTTTTCAAATAGAGAACTCCTGGCTAAGAGACTCTTGTATCATCTATGTTGATTCCTATGTTATTTACTAATGGTGGTGTTCTATAGTAATATTTACTGGAATTGCCCTTAAGTCCTGCTGAGAGACTCTGGGGATTGTGAGCTACTGCAGAGCTAACTAGCTAATACTTTGATCCTTCTCAGGGGAAACTTTACCTGCTGCTTCTTGGGACAACAGCTCTTAGCTTGGTATGGCGATTTATTTAACTTAAGTTTGTGGAATTTACATATTTTATGCTTGCCATGTTTTCTAGCTTGGGGTTTGTCTAGTGCATTAATTGTTTGTTGGTGTCAGAAAACTATATGACATACTTTTTCTAGTTTAAGTTGTTTCTGCAATTTAATTGCATATTCAGATTATTCTGTTCCTTCTAATCAGATGGTGAATTTTGCACTCACCACTTCAGTTTAAAATCCCTACTTACTGCTCAATATGAAGGGAAAAGTGCAATTCAAACTACAATCGTGTTTGATGCGTAGTTTTACTCTGGAGATGGAATGGACATAGGACACCGATTTGATAAAATAAAACAGATTCTGCATAGTCGTAGCTTTCTATTAAGTTATTGATCTTTGCTAGTAACAATTTTTAGCTTATGGAAAGGACATGGGACAGGCAGTTACTGATACTCAGGCCATGCATCTTGAAATTAATGTGACGGTAAAAGATGAAATTTAAATGGACAAACTTTGTGCATCCAAGTTGTGGCTGTCATTTGGAAGCTAGTGGGCGATGCTTTTTTTTTATTTCTTTTTCTTTTTGTATTTTCCATTGTTTAAGAAGGAAACTTCAAGTGTCATTGAGTGCAAAGAAAAGCAAACAGCTTAGAGGGAACAATTTTGTTGTGTTTGTGTCTGTAAGTATTTCAAATAACTGTTGCCTGCACACTTTTTTTCAGATGTTAACTCATGTAACATACTTGCAGGTGACAACGACTCTGCTTTTCAAGCTGATTCCTGCTGTAATGCATCTTGGAGTGCTGTTACGGTGGTTCCCTCCTGACAGTGCGTTCGAGGTAAGCATTGATGAATCGATTGTTTAGACATCGACTTGTAGCTGTTGGTCGGACTGGGCATCCACTTGTATTTAGTGGTTCTCATTTTCTTGATCTCCTTTCTAGACTTAATTGTGTGCTTTTGATGTCCAGGTTGGATCTAAAGGAGATAGCTTCCGATCAGACAGTGGTAAACAACGGATTAGTGTGTTAGTCGAAGGAGATCATGACTCATGAGCTTCATACATATGCCATAAAGCGGTGTGTCAAGTTCATGAGCTTCATACATACGCCATAAAGCAGTATGTCAAGTTCATGAGCTTCATACATGTGCCATAAAGCGGTATGTCAAGTTCATGAGCTTCATACAACATCATGACTCATGAGCTTCATGCATATGCCATAAAGTGTTATGTCAAGTTTATATGACTAGCACTATGCTGGGGCTTTATTTCACTCCTCTGTGCAGATGAAGTTGACTGTGTTCCTCTAGGACTGGCACAAAGTTTTGCGATCAATTTAGATAGAAATTCTTCTTCGCCATGATTTTTTCATTGTATCATATGTTCAATACTGCTTGAAATTACAGTGATAATTCATAGTAACCCATACTTGATGTCTTATGAATCTGTAAAATGAACATGTGCATAGTGCCTTTTCTTTTTTCAATTTAAAGATTTTTCTACGATCACGTTGAGAAAACCCATCTCAATGTCATGCTTTTTTTACTGCCGCTGTTGGACGGATGTATATATTATGTTTAGAATTCTTGGACAGAATCTTTTGAAACATTAACCTGTTTATACATTACAATGTCTCTAACCTGATTGTATGAAGCAAATATTTCCAGAATCAGGTGAGATTTTGAATCTGTTTTTCTTTTTGAACACGCATATCTTTTCTATTTGTATGCATCATCATCTGTTTTCTTTTTCCTTTTTCCCAGTTAATAAGATTTCAGATTTTCTGCGTGTCTTGCTGTTAACTTGTTTGCTCTACTGCTCATGTCAAGCATGTAAATTAGATGTCATTTCAAAGTTGCAACTTTGGAGGCCTACAATTGAGGGGCCGAGTCTTGGAATATCATTAACTGGAGAGAAGATGTTGAAATTAGTTAATTAATCCTGTCTCAAGAGAAATTAAGATCTTAAATCTTCTTGCAGCTTAGGCTATACCGGGGTGAAATTATAAAAATATTTCTATTTAGACTTTATTGTTTTTATATATATCTCTTCTATTTAATAATTACTATTAATTAGAGCAAAAATAACATAAAAGTTCTCGTTGAATCGGGGTCCAGAGCTTCATCAATGACAGGGTGAACGAAGCCGTTATAATTGTGTTATGATACGAACTTTTATTAGATTACATGTAAGATTTGTGCTTTAACGATTACTATGGAGTAGGTCTTCAAGCGGTTTCGAGAAAACTCGAAGGCAATTAAAATACATAGAATTGATAAAAATATCACTATAAATTAAACACGACCACATCCTTTTGTTGTTTATGAGGTTAAATATCACAACCTTTCAATTGGCAGTGTAAAAGGCTTCTTTTCATTTTCAATCGTAAAAAAACTCATCTATGCGGATTCCTTCTTTTCCTTGCCAACATCCTTTCCCCTCTCTCATTACCTGTTCTTTGTTCTTTTTTTTTAAAATGACTTTTTCCATGTAATTTCTTAATTAAACTGATAAAAGTCAATGCCTAACAAATACACCGAAGCAGTCTTGAAGGAGGAGATGAAAATACTGCCGTTAGTCTTGGCAAGAAAGTCAACATATTGATTACCCTTACCGATTTATTCAACAAAGTAGGGATGTCCCCAATACGAAACAAAGAAAGTGTAATCCAAACCCCCAAACTGACAGAGAGCCATATCTCAAAGCCATAAGGTCCACTTGCATATTGGTATTAACACCCACATGGCAAGAGTTGTAAAAAAATCCAGTTACCATTGCTACTCCGCTAAAAAAAAAAAAAAAGTTTGTTCAATTATATCCTAATTATAATTATATTTATTTTGAAATTGCCACTAAATCTTGAATTTGTTTAAAATACTGATTCTGATTGCTTTTATGTTTATTTTGACTAATTGACAGAATTAGTAAAAGTGGAAAAAACTTGGTTTGAGATGCCTAGAGATTCATAGATTCAAGTCTTGTTTTTGGATGGTGTTTGAATTTCTAACTCTTAGTGGCTATAGGATTCTTAATTAGAAGTAAGGAAATCCTCGTCAATGGAAGGGTTGAAGTCCACAATCGGTTGTTGTGATCCTACCATAATTTACCACTAATTATTATTATGCATAATTAGCAACTAATCTTTCTTAACTGGCTATTTAATTTTTATAATTAGCTCCTGGAAAAAAATGAAAAACTTATTTCTAATCAATTGGTCGTTAGTTTTTACTACCTCATGACGTTTGTTACGCATATAATTTTGCAAATGCCAAATCAATGATATTTTTGTTAATCTTGAAATTGATAAATAATTAAATTATTTACTCCCCTCTTGTTTCATAATTTTGATATTAACTCAGTTTACAGTAAAATTTCACTCTTACAAAAAATTTCATCAAGTAAAAATTTTAATCTTAAAAAAATATTTCATTAACTTAAATTTGCTTCATTTTAATCATTCGACTATGAGAGTTTTAAATATATTAATCTTAACCCTAAATTTGGTAGAACATCTTATGGTTATATCGATTACATTACAGACTGGTTACTAATACAATTATGTTTTCAAGTCATGAAATTACATTTATCAAAAGAAATGAAAAAATTTCAAAACTATTCAAAGTGTTTTTAAAAAAATAAGAAGTTTCAAAATTACTAAACCATTAAAATTTTTTTAATCTTTTTTTGAAAAAATAAAATTATATTCTTTTACGGCTAAAGGGTATATATATATATATATAAATTTGTTAATTTGGATGGAAAAATCACATCACATAATGACATATTAAAGAATTGAATATTATATAAGAACACAATAGGCATAAATATTAGTAAATATAGGGACATATCAAATACTTGCTTCTTATATATATATATATATATATATATATATATATGTATGTATGTATGTATGTATGTATGTATTAGTCGGGGATATTTTGATAAAAAATATTCTCCTATAACTCGCACGTGTTTGGTCGGAAAAAAATCGAACAATTAGAAACTTTTTAAACATAATAGATACAATTGAAAACCTAAGAATAGATTGGAGACCAAAATATTATATAAAAATAGAGAAAAAGTCTTTTTTGATGCCCAACCTTTCAATTTTTTTCTATTTTGATGCCCAATCGTTGATTGTCCATGATTGACTACCCAAGCTTTAATTTTTTATTTGTTTTGATGTTTGAGTTCATTTGAATCTTGATTTTGCCGACGTATCCGTCGAGACCTACCATATTGTAGTAAAAAAATGCCACATGGAGGTCAACCCCTATCACGTTAGCACTTCATACTCTCATGTAGTTATAGGCACTTAAACACACACACACACACACATATATATATATATATATATATATATATATATATATATATATATATATATATATATATATATATATCAAAGGTTAGGCATTAAAATAGAAAAAAATATATTAAAGATTAGGTAAAAAATATGCAATTTTTTAAAGAAATTTATTATCTTGAGATCGCAAAATTAGTCTAATAATTTCTAATAAATATTTTTAATATCATACTTATGATATATTTTTCTACTTATCAATGACAATTTTTAGTACTCTCTATCAATTAAAAATTATTTTTTAAAACCATTTTACATGTCTAAATTATATCATTTAATCCAAATATATATAAGGTCTAATTAAAATTAAATTTAGAAAAGTAAAAGACATAAGATCTAATTATGATTGCCATTTAAGGAACAAATGGTTGGTCAACGAAGAAGTTAAAAAAAAAAAATTGATTCCTTTGTCTAGGGAGAAAATTAACCAACATATCATGTAAGGATGACAATTTGCTCGTCCCGACGAGACTCCGCCCGCTCCGGTCAATGTGAGGATTCCTCGAATTGATTAGGAAACCAAACGGGACGCCTCGCCTCGTATTTATTTTGAACATGGATGGGGCGGGGGTGGTATTTTCCCATCTTGCCTCGTTTGCCATGCTTCATCCCTAAAATTATAATTATATCCTATATAAAATCTGTGACTACTAACTCTTAGGGCTTATTTATATGAGCTTTTATTTTTTTGCTATAGTTTGAAATTTTGTAATAGAATAAGGTGGGACGAGACGAAAACAAAAAATTAGATAGGATACCCGTACCCCGCGAGGATCCCGGTCTTGTGTGGGGGCACGGGGCGAGCACGGGGCAAAATTTTCAAGGATGGGGATGGCCCGCCGCATTGCCATTCCTAATATCATGGGTGACATAACCTTGCTTAGCCAATAACTTGTTGAACTTCTTATAGTAAGATAAGATTGGATAGAATCGATATAAATAAATTTAGTAATCAAGCTTTTTGATTTGAGCATTTAAAGTACAATATTTTTTGTAACGATGACGATAATGATAGAAATAATAAGCAATTGTGAATTAAGCTAAAAAGTAAATGTATTGTTAAAATTGCTTGCGTAATTATCATAATAATCGGAAAATATACATGTATATAATTGTTAGTATTTTTAGCATTTAAAATTATATGACTTTTAATATCAAAAAGAAAGTTTTAAAAAATATATATATATATATATATATATATATATATATATATATATATAAACATTATGGAAGCGCAATAAATGCATGAAATCTATTTATAATAAAGAAAAAATATATCACAAGTAGAAAAAGGGAATAAGCCTTTGGTGTGAGAAAAGTAAAATAAATTTTTTGAAAAAAATATATTTTTGATATCCAATCATTGAAGTATATTTTTTTCGTTTAGGTGCCCAATCTTTATTTTTTTTCTATTTTAATACCTAACCTTTGATTTTTTTATTTATTTATTTGAGTGCTCATAGCTATACGAGAGTATGAAGTGCCGACGTGTCAAATTTGATCGCCACGTGACAATATTGTCACATAACAAGTCTCGTCGGACACGACAATAAAATTAGGATTTAAGTGAACTCGGACACCAAAACAAACAACAAATCAAAGCTTGAGTATTCAATCATGAAAAATCAATGATTGAGTATTAAAACAGAAAAAAAATTGAAAGGTTGTACACTAAAAAAATCTCTTTCTCT